TTTTTTTTTTTTTTTTTTTTTTATATTCCGAGGGAATCTGCTTACAGATACCCCGGCCCCGCGGGGGCAGAGCCGGGGTTATGTGGGACTGGGCTGAACCCTGAAGGGGAACAGCCCGACCGCACTAAACCCCCGGAGTGTTCCTCCCCTCCGCTGTAGGTGGGGGTACGGGTACGCTGTTGCACTCGTCCGCGACCCCACCAGCGGCTGGCCGCGCCCTGCGCAGCCCCTCCTCGAGAAGGGAGACACATCGGTCCCCCGACTCCGAATGTGAGGCTCGCCGAACACCAGACGAGCCTTCCATCCCGGGCCCCTTTATGCTGGGCAACGAACTCCCCCGAGTCCGCTACCCAGGGGCCATGGGGGGCCAGGACAGCATCCACTCAACTGTGAAGTTCAGTGGTTGCTCTCCCAGCCCCCGCGGCGGATCTGATGACAGGCTCCGCCGCAACACCTAACGCGCTTCCGCGCGGACTCTCCGAAGAGAGTCCCTTGGAGCGCCCACCACGGGCCAACCGCCCACGTTCGGCCGCGGAGGATAGGACGAGCGGCAACGACACACCGACACGTCTCTTCCCCCGTGGCCCCGCCGCCACTGCATCATTAAAAGCGGTGCAGCCCCGCCAGGGTCGCGGAGGACAGGACGAGCGGCAACGACACACCGACACGTCTCTCCCCCCGCGACCCTCCTCCTCGCGCATCCGCGCGGTCCCGGTGACCAGACGAGCCCGCGCGGAACGCCCTCCTCCTCGGGCCAGCCTACCACCATCGGCCGGCCCCGTGGGTTCCTCTTAGCTTAACCTAAACCCACAGGAGGAGGTCGAACCAACTAGGAAATGCAAAACAAATTCGATTCTGGCACTTTGTTATATACTAACCTATCCTAAACCCACAGGAAGCGGTCGAACCAACTAGCAAATGCAAACAAATTCGGTTCTGGCACTTTGTCATATACTAACCTAATCTAAACCCACAGTAGGAGGTCGAACCAACTAGGAAATGCAAAACAAATTCGGTTCATTCACCATTGCACCTAAACACCAGTAGAATTATATTAATAATACATTATACTCAGTGAATGTTCTATCTGAAGTGTTTATATAAAACGAACATTATGCCATCGGTATATTAGATTGAAAGTTGTTATATCAATCGACTATTATACCCAGTCTTTATCATGCAAGAATATGTCAAATGTCTGTATACCATAAATTAATCATATCTGTTGAACGTTATATCGACTAAAAATACGTCATTAGTTGTTATATATTACGAACCGCACCCGCACTTCCAACTTAATTTTTTCTCTCCTTTGGGCTTCTTTTTCCATCCTCTAAGTTCTAACCGCATCACTTTTTTTAATAGACTACAAACAATGGGGAATAGACGAAAATTTTAAAAGTGCTTGATTTTTTGTTGCAAAGATCATATAAACGTAA